ATTTAAATAATATCAGAGATGCTGTGTTAAAGCGAATTAGTAAAGTAACAGTGCATTGACTTACAGAAACTTGAAGATAAATAAATGTTTTCACAGCTTCACGGATAAATAACTGGAAGCAGGAAAAAGGCAACCGGAACCCACACAAAACCTGGAATCAAAAAAAATATGTAAAAAATATAAATATAGGTACCTACATAAGACTTTTGTGAATTAAATCAAACAGGACTTGAATGAAAATAAAATGAATAAAAAATATGATACATATACATCTAATACCTCATTTGTATTTTAAAAATAATCTACATACATAGATTTATAGCATTATTGCTATGAAAATACATAATAGGTACCTATGTGATATGTAATTACGCATTTCTGTTCATCTTGTAGAAATTTAACGTAGGCTAATAATAGTTCAATAATCATAATTTACCTTGTATAACTTGCTTTCAATTGCTCAAAATCACCGATCAGTCTTTAAAGTAGAGATACGGAAAAATCCTTGAAAGAATATCCCAAGATCCTTGGGTTTAAAGCTAAAAAAATATAAAAACAGTTAATATATTACCTATTTTTACCTATAATATGGCCCATACCTGCTACACGCCGAAACGTCGATTTCATCATTTTCTTCATGTAATTAATATCATATATACTTTATTAAAGTGTTAACAAGGAACTTTATATCAAAAAACATCTTTGTACTTATAAATTTCAGCCGAAATATCAGAAACAAACTTCCAATCAAATCTAAACGGCAAAAATTAAAATGGCGCCCGACCTTGCCAGAGGCCTCGGAGCTGACGCTGACAACACAGACAAAAGACAAAAAAGAACAGGACGCCGACGTGCATAAAATGTTCCGTAGCAGAAATTGACAGAAATCATATAGAAATATTCAGATTTTTGTCTAGGACAGTCTAGAAGGCCATGCTTTCTGCCTGGGTAGAACCGCGCCACAACTGTTTCCAATTATCCGGTTTACTGTCACCCCCCTGATATACAGGTACTGATTTCTTTCGAAAATCGATAACTATGAAACTATGAACCCTTCCTGGACACAAACGGTACATTGTGAGACAGGAAATTGTAGAGAGAAACAAGCCCTATAACATAGGATACAACATTTTAATCAACAGTGCTTTCCATAAAATCAATAAAATGAAAAATATAGGAAATAATATACAGGTACTGATTTCTTTCGAAAATCGACAACTATGAAACTATGAAGCCTTCCTGGACACAAACGGTACATTGTGAGACAGGAAATTGTAGAGAGAAACAAGCCCTATAACATAGGATACAACATTTTAATGAACAGTGCTTTCCATAAAATCAATAAAAAGAAAAATATAAGAAATAATATACAGGTACTGATTTCTTTCGAAAATCGACAACTATGAAACTATGAACCCTTCCTGGACACAAACGGTACATTGTGAGACAGGAAATTGTAGAGAGAAACAAGCCCTACAACATAGGATACAACATTTTAATGAACAGTGCAGCCATTTGTTTCTGAAGGTAGCGAGTAGATACTCATTTATGATCCCGATAGGTGAAAGATCTACTCAGGGATGCGCCCCTGCCTACATGAGCCTTGGTTTATCTCCTAATTCCATGCAAGTGGGAAACAAAGTCCCTATCCAAATCTGTCCAAATTTCCCTGTTTGTATCAAATCCAATCTTCCAAGACGTTTGGTCAACGTGGAAGATTATGGCTAAAAATCCCAAAGAAAGAAACATCGACATTGCTTTAAACTAAATCAAACATCAACTTACTGCTTGGCGTTCCGAGTACAACAAGCGACGGGCGAAAAACGGTATTTTTACGAGTGAAATTTCGCTCGATTATTAAAATCGCTTGAGACTCGAGTACTCGATTATTGAAATTAATCGGTGTTTCTCATCACTACTTGTGACGAAGACAGTAAGTCGATCATACATAAATAGTCTGTGAACTTAACGTAGCACTACAATCTTTGCCTTTGGGCAAATGTAAACCCCCTCTGGACATTTCTTCCCAAAAAAGACATACCTAGTTCATAATAGACTAACATTCTAGGGCGATAAATATCTGGAACTAGAGAAATTAAAACATATCCGGCCAGGAAGGATCCTTTGTAGAGGAAGCAAGCAAATTTTGAGGGCTACATCATTTACATCACAGAGGGTTAGAACAAAGGGCACACACAAGCCTACGTTTTTCATCAAAGGGTTCAGAAATCTTAAAAATACTTTACTATATTATACAATTTATCATTTTTTAAGTTGGTAACCGCTTGTAATCTTAAAATAATATTATTTTGAAAACAAGACGTAGTGGATTTAATTGGATGTAGTATAAACTGAAACCTAATTACTAAATGAAACCCAACACAGACCGTTTTAGTAATACCAGTCCATAACTACTTAAAAATATTTATAAACCAGGTAACTTTATCTCCCTCCGACGCTATTAAGGTTCTGTTTTAAAACCACACAATGGCTGTTTTCGGTGACACAGCCCGATATTTATGATACCTTACCCGAAATTGTCCCATCATTTATCCCTCTGAGCTTGTTCCTTCTTTCCTTCCAACATTAGTTTAACTTCGGCTCGTTTGTGATAAAGATCTCCTGATCTTTCTGTATATATGCCCACAAAAATGGTAATTTTCTAAATATAATCTTTCCGTACGAGAAAAATGAATTTTATTTTATTGAAATGTAAAAAATAAGGCGTGTTCTACGTTCAGGCTATATCGTAAAGTATTTTATTTGTGTAGTTCTCTGTTTATAGGTAGGTTGGATTGGTTTGTTGTTTTTTTACAAAGTTTGCGTTATCGTAAAATCACGGTTCAAACATATCCGATGTCCTGCTGGTCAATTAAACTACTTCACTAAGATTTTTTTCATTTTTGTATATACGATTATTTTTGTATATACGAGGCTTTGGGTTTTATTATGTTATAATGCAGAATCTGTGATTAGGGAGCTACTAAGCTTAAAACATCGCGGATTGATCAAATATATATTAAACTGTAATGGGCCTGTTGTTGTTGAAAATAGGAAAGAGTAGGTACTTAAACTCATATGAACTTTTATTCCTCAAAAGCTGCCTTCTTTGGATAGGAGCAGTTGTTTCCTGACCAGGTTATGTTCTTAACTTCCAGCAAAAGATTTGAAGACCGTCTTAATGTCATATTGTTTGGCTATTCGCCTGATCTTTTCTGATGTTCCTTTTGCATATGAAATAGTCAAGAGAGAAAGATTTGGGAAAGAACTTCAGGCTGGTGGACTAATGAGTCTGTTACAGTTCGATATACCTTTGTCTACGGATTTTTCAGAGTAACCATTTTGATTCGTTTTAATATTATTTAATTCAGCATTAAATGTTATTTAGTCGCTGCATGCCTATATGGTGTTTTTGTTTGATGTTGCTTGAGGATGGTTTGAGAGAAAACTTAAATACTGCCACATTATATGTCGATTTTCTATGCGCAGAAGCGTTAGTAGATCTTCCATTTCTACTAATCAAAAGATCTAGAACCGATAGACAGAGGTTTTGCTCATTCTCAATCGTAAATTTGATAGAGTCAATTTTTGATGATTCAGAAACGAATCCAAAAGTCTACCGGTTCCATTCCAGTTTATAAAAGTATCGTAAATATACAGGGTGGTCCAAACTATATAAGTAACGTCAATATTTGGATAAAAATTGATGTTTGGGAGTTTTTGACATGAAAAATTTGATCTTGATGTCAATATATAACTTTTTATCTGTACCTGTATAAAACCACTGACTGAAAAAATATACATTTCCGTGATTTTCTACGTAAAAAATGTCTCTTGGTAAAAATCGCTACCAGCAACCGTTCTCAAGATATTTAGAATGGAAATGTCAATAGATGTCATTTATTGACAAAAAATAAACACGATAAGTAAGATAGTCATTTGACTAAAATAATGAATTTGGAAAGTTTTATTTTTTAATTAATCATAAATTTTTCTGCGAAAAAATGGCGATGGACCAGTTTCTATTGAACTTTTGGCACAAAAACATTTCAAATTTGTGATTTGTCTAATAACTATTTAGTCAATATGTTCAATTTATGTCAATTATGGTATTGAATATCTGGTATTGAAAATTTCGATTCCAAATATCTCGAGAAGTATTACTCGTAGCAATTTTTTACTAAGAGACCTTTTGTACATAAAAAGCGTCGTAAATGTATATTTTTTACTCAGTAGTTTTATACAGGTACTGACAAAGAGTTGGTGGCGTGGCGCCCTCTACAAATAGGAGTCATATTGACATCAAAATCAAATGTCTCATGTCAAAAAAACTCACAGACACCAATTTTCATCCAAATATTGACGTTACTTCAGAAATTATTTGAAAAAAATCGTAATAAAAATGAAAGTTCTACACCCTGTATCTCCGAAAGTATGTAAGCATTTTAGGACATACATTTATACGAACATTTTTTACTTATTTTTAGCTGCAGAATATGCTGCCGAAGTTTCCGGAATACAGTTCGGGCCACCCTGTATATGCCAGCATACTGATAGTGAATAATTGAACCGAAACAATGGGTAAGTCAAAATAAATAAAGACAAGGAAGTTCAAAATTCTTTTAGTTTCAATTCTGAATCATTGTCTACTACATTCAAAGAATGGTTTTTAGATTGCTTCTGGGTTTATAGTTTTAGAGAAACTTCTTAGACTCATTTTCAGTCACTAGATCCACAATGTATACTCCTTGGTACCTTCCTGTCTTTGACATATATGAAAAGAACTGGTCATTAGCACAGCTAATCTATTTTCGATATGAAAATAATTTACTTCAGATATCAGATATTATATAGATACTAGAACATTGTATAGATACTGATGTATTATCTATAGATACTTTGGGGTTGGATGCAATCAAGTGTGACGTTGTCCACTGAGGTCGCGAGCTTTGGTATGTGTGGTATATTTATAAGTGGTGGCAATATTGTAATTTCTATACTAGGATTGGCAATAATTGACTTCGTAAGTTCCAGCACATTTTTCGTATAGGGCGCATATTCTAACCGATATTTCTCCAACTTTAAAACGCAACAACTCCCTATCCCCCATATCGAATACCTACAAAGCCATCATTTCATTGGAGAATTACGTTCTTACTTACTTAATAACAGAATTTAAGTACTTTGTGTTGTGACGGTTTTATTGAATTTATTGAAAATTCTCCGTTTTAACGACGTTATGAATTCGAGTCGTCGGAACGGTTCGTAATTTTCTAGAAGAATTTCGCCATAAAAGTTTTTGTTTTTATGCACTTTATCGACTGAGGGATGGGCGAATGGAGGCAGGGCAGCGCCGTCGGGGGGTAAGGGGGACGGATTAATATCGAAAAATACGATCGATAGCGCCGCGCCGGCCGGTGAGAAATCCAAGCGGATTACAGGAGGTAGCTTGGGTTTTGGGTACCTTCTAGGTCGTTTAAGAAGAGAAAGAAGTTCTATCGGTCATGTAATAACACAGGCCGACATGATTTTTGTAACACGAGTCAGTTGCAGAATTCCTTCATAAAAATATGCTTCTAATAACAGAAAAAATACTCCTGAAGCTCCTACACGTACCACTTTTCAGTTGCCTAATTACGCCTCTTTTTTGCAGGTAGTCAATTTTATAGATGTCAGGTATTAAGTCTAGGTAGATTCACGTTTTACATACAGGTAAATTTTATGATGGGATGATTGAAAGGGACGCATTTTGTGCACTATAATATATTGTGAAAAACATAAGAGTTCAGTTTTCAGTTGATTTTCGACGTGAGTTGTTCTATGCGTGTAGATAAATAAGTACGAAAATGTCAAGTCAAACGCGCCGCAGTTGTAAAGTGTCTCCTGATCGATTTTGTTACATTTGTGGAGAATTTATGAATTTGCAATCACAAGCCAGACCATTTTCTGAAAATGTGAAGAAAGCCTACTTCAAGTATTTTGGAGTTTTGGTTGGAGATCAAGACAAGCAGTGGGCTCCTCATGTGTGCTGCGTTACTTGTAGCGTGTCGCTTGTGCAGTGGATGAAAGGGAAGAGGAAAAAATGCCATTTGCGGTTCCAATGGTATGGCGAGAACCAACTAACCATTTTGACGATTGCTATTTTTGCCTGACGAAAACTGAAGGTTTTTCCAAAAAACAAAAGCACAAGATCGAGTATCCCAATTTGCCGTCTGCCATACGACCTGTTCTTCATGGTGCAGATCTCCCAGTGCCGATCGCGCCCTTAGACTGGCAAGGTATTGTTTTGGAAGATAAGGAAGATATTGAATCAAACAGCTCTGGAGACCAGTGTACTGATCCTACCTTTACCCCAGAGGGCGGTTCCGACAAGCCACATTTGATTGTTCAAAGCGAGTTGAATGACTTAGTGCGTGACTTGGGGTTATCAAAGCAGCAGTCAGAACTTCTTGGATCCCGGCTTAAGGAATGGAATCTGTTAGCCAATGAAACAAAAATCACCACTTTTAGAAAAAGAAATGCTCCGTTCTCTGCATTCTACAGTATGGAGGATTCGTTGTGTGCATGTACTGATATCGATGGCTTAATGCAGGAACTTTCTATAGAACATTCTCCCTGTGAGTGGCGCTTATTCATAGATTCGTCGAAATATAGCCTAAAAGCTGTGTTATTGCATAACGGAAATTTAAAACCCTCTATACCAGTTGCCCATTCAGTGACAATGAAGGAAACTTATGAAAATATGCGCATGCTTTTAGATAGAATCAACTACAACAGGTATAAATGGCAGATATGTGGGGACTTGAAAGTTATAGGAATTTTAGTGGGACTTCAGGGAGGATTTACAAAATATTGCTGTTTTCTTTGTTTGTGGGACAGTCGTGCAGTAAATCATCATTATGTACAGAAAATTTGGCCAGAAAGAAGTGAATTTCAACCGGGTTCCCAAAATGTCAAGTATATCCCTCTTGTAGACCCCAAAGACGTCCTCCTGCCTCCTCTTCATATCAAACTTGGCCTCATGAAAAACTTCGTGAAAGCTATGAATAAAGAAGGTGATGGATTTAAATACCTAAGGCAAGTCTTTCCCCAGTTGAGTGATGCCAAATTGAAAGAGGGTATTTTTATTGGACCACAAATCAGGAAATTGTTGGACGACACAAATTTCACAGACACGCTTACCAGGCAGGAACTCAGAGCATGGACCTCATTTGTTAGTGTAGTGAGGGGATTTTTGGGAAACAATAAGGATGCGAACTACGAACAATTGGTTAATGAGCTTTTAGATGCTTATAAATCGCTTGGTGCCCGAATGTCTTTAAAAATTCACTTTCTCCATTCTCATTTGTCATTTTTCCCTGAAAATATGGGTGCTGTCAGTGATGAGCAAGGTGAGAGATTCCATCAAGACATAAGGACAATGGAAATTCGTTATCAAGGACGATGGGATCCAGCCATGATGGGTGATTACTGTTGGTTTTTGAAGAGAGAAGACGCGGTCCCTCATAAAAGGAAAAAGTAAAAGTTTTTGTTTATGTTTTGATCTCGTTTCGATTGTTTTTGTACTTTTTAGGTATAAGTAATGTTTGAGGAGTGTAAACTATAAAATATAATCGGTATATAGGCTTAAGAAGTTCTTAAATCATGTTTTGAATAGCTATCTTAATATATTGAATATTGTAATATTGAATGATGTTTTATTAATGTAACAAAAAAACCTTACGTGTTACGACTTTTTTTTTGCCACTTTCGTGATTAGATAGGTTCATTCTACCACAATATCCTATTGAGCTTTGTGTTACATCGAAAAAATTTTTTTTTGTCGGCCTGTGTAATAGGCGATTTGTGTACGGCCAGCGTTAGTGGGTTTATAAGTGGTTGCAAAATTGCTAAAATTTCCATGTAGAATGTTTAGGAGGAGAGTTAATCACTGCGACCTTACATGTCTACTGTGTGTTCCCCTTTCTTGAGTTATAACGAGTTATAACTCATCATACAGTCTCAGCGCTTTAACAAAAGCCAGTATCTGAGACGGCTCTACAGAGGCCAGCTCTCCATCCTCGACATCAGCCGTACCAAAGTTCATGGCACGAATGGTCGTCGTCTCGGCGCACTCAGTGATAAGGTGTTCTGGTGTTTCTTTTCCCACATAATCTGCATTCGTCGTTTGTTTCTCAGCTTCAACCTACTGGAAGTGTTCGTTGAGGAGACAGTGTCCTGTTAGAAACCCCGTGACAATTGAAGATTGTTTTTACTTAAACCAAAGGAAAACCTTTGATTTTTTTCTCGGTCGTAAGTTCCTGAGGAACTGTTTTTCGATTATCTTAGACCGTTGGAGGACACCCATTCCAAGTTACGGATGGAGTCTTCCAGATTCTTCAGTTCCGCTTTCAGTTGGTTCCCGTTTGGAAAACAGAACGGTTCTGGTCCAGTTAGTGAAGTGTTCGCTCCTTCTCTAGCTAGATCATTTGCTTTTTCATTGCCTTCTATCTCTTGGTGAGCAGGTACCCAGAGTAGGAAGACTTTATTTTCTTTGCCTAATTTGTGGATCTTCTCTAGGGATTCTTTAACCAACTTCGAATTGATGGTTACTGAGTTGATCGCGTTTAGTGCTGCTTGACTATCGGATAGGATGATCTACATGTTTCCTAGTGACTGGCTTGCTTTAATTATTGGAGAAATCGTAGAGCATTCTAAATATTAGAATATTTTTCTAAATTTTTAAAATCTTATAATAAATATCTATTATTTGAAGCGGTTTCGAGGTAACATACCTACAATCCTTAAACGTGAAAGTAAGAACCCATATATAATATAATTTAAAAATACTGAAACCATATTTTACGTTTGATATTTGAGCTGATAAGATCACCGATAAATTAACAGACCTAGAAACAGTACGTTCGACTTTTTCCTTTTACGATTTTAGTTGTTGGTGAGAAACTGACATTTAATTACCATCTTACGCAACTTATACGTGAGAAAGCCCGCTAATCCGCCACTGCCTTTATGCGATTTTAAGACTGCCCGTTTACCGGCGACGTCGCCATCTTTATAACTAGGATTACTTTATTGCCAATGTCAGATCGAAGACGAAATAATCATTTGTCACGACCGACGATGGTCATATTTGATGCGTAAACCCCAGTTTACATCCGATGATTTATGGTATGGCAGCGTTTAATATATGATTTTGACCGGCGTAGATATTTATGCGTAATTAAGAAGTTATGCGTTGAATTAATAAAAGATTGAACTGTTTAAAGGTAAATTACGAGTTAGATTATTAGAAAGTATCTTTGCTAATCATTTATTTTCTGTTAGGAAAAATAGAGTAGAGTATCTTAGTTAACGTCTCCTTTTTGCTGCTATAAGGCTAATCTGGGCTCGAATTCTGTAACTTTTAAACACATTAAAATTAAACGGCTATCCTTATCTGACACACTTAGCGTCTTTACCAAAGACATCTAAATAAAGGGAGATAAAACAATTTACATTTTATCGCGATCACGAACCGTGTTCCGCAAAAATCGGTGATGACAGATTTACGCGGTATATGTGATAGAATACGGTTCGAGTTCCAAATGTTATTATTGTTATTAATGTATTTTGGGTACCTATAGAAACGTTAAACTAAATATTTGTTTAGGTGTATAACTTTAATTAATATACATAGATTGTGCCAGGATTATACCTTTGAAATTTTAGTTTTCTAATTCAATTATATTAGGGAAATTACAATGATAACTAGCAGCATCGCTGTGGATTCATCTTTACTAAGAAATTGTCGAAATCTGTAGGAATTACGCTGACATTTGACGTTTTCATTTGTTTTCATTCAACTTATATTTGACAGGGCGCGGTTGTGAGTTTTCTGCGGTAGTTGAAAGTTTTTGCAGCGTTTGAACAATTTTTTTCTAATAATTATTAGTGTTTATTGCAAAGAAAACTATTTAAAGTAGTTTTTAACTATCTACGATGGTTCGCCAGTGCATAGTTTGTAAAAAGGTGGAGAATAGTCCAGTGGATTATTCTAATCCGGAATTGATATTTCGACTGTAAGTGTCATTACGTTCTTATTATTACTTTAATTACGGTAGTCGGTATTTT